AAACGAGTATTTGTATTACCCGTTTATTCGATTATTTTGACGGATCATCAAGTGAGTCGATACTTTTTATAGGGGTGTGTATATTAAATTATTTTGAGAAAATGATTTTTTCATCCTTATATATATTATGCAAAAAACTCGGAGAGCGTCTAAACTATCTTTTGTTAGAGAACCTCCAATATTTACCTTTAATTTACAATTACTACATAAATAAAATTGTTTATTTTGATTGAATTATGTTTAGATTCTATTTACAACAATAACGTTAATGATAACAATGATATTGCAATTTGAATTTACATGCAAGCAAAAATTTAAACTTCGATGTTTTTGAAGATTATGTGACCCAGTTTGAAAAATCTCAGATAGGATTTGTTGAATTGACATTACATGGACTTATTCATAGCTTGGGATTTATTTCATATTGGGATTATTAGTATATGGTGCGAAATTGCGAAATAATAATTAATTACCAAGTAATTTCTTTTTTTAATATTATCAGATCCTGAACATCAGCCTCCTCATTATAACCATTTCAGTTGTAAATACAGTATATTTTACTTATTAAAGATATATAAGATAAATCTGCTTCAAAGAAAAATTTTAAAAAATAGATATGTATAATCTATAGGTTTTAAAAGGATAATTCACTTTAAATGGAACAAAGCCGTTTCCTTACTGAATGGAGTCAGTTAGCTAAAACCCAGAAACACAATCAATAGCATATGCTAACTGACGCTATCCGGCTACCAAAAGATGATAAAACTGCTATACTAATTTATTAATTTTGACCTATGATTATGACCACTCATATGTATATATCTCTATTGTAGATATGACCTTACAAACACCACGATAATGTTTATATCTTTCTTTTATAGATAATGACAGGCTTATATTAAAAGTTAGAATTCTACAATTGAAACAAGCAACATATATGCATTTAAAGGTTCCAATTATTTAACAATAAAATAATTCCGATCTAACTTTGGCTAGTCATAACAGTCAAGACAGCAACAGCACCATAAAAAGTCATAAACAAAGAATATTCACTATTTTTATTTCAAAGTAACTATTCAAAAACCACGCGCAATATGATATATGCATTGTTAATGCTATGCCTATATCCACAAGAAAGAAAACCAAATTGTTTAGACCAAGATGTCAATACATATATTATAAAAAAAATTTTGTTATTAAATAAAACATCTCCCCATGTAATAATAAATGAACAGAAATCTCCTTGACCAGGAGAGACTCCCATTGAATCTTTTCGATATTGAGAAGAAATATTGTCCGATATATATTATTGGTGTCGTGTAAGTTCTTGGGAAGGGTGGTAAAGTGGAATGAGAAGTCGAGAGAAATCTTGATGTACCAGCAATAGCAATGGCGGTTGCTGATGAGGATCCCAATGCTTTTATAGTGTAGCCACCTTTGAATGAAATGCAAGATGGGTTGATACATTCAACAGCACCGTGGCCATGTCCAGGTTCAGTTTATTGAAATTCGGCTTAGGCTCGGTAAGCTAAAATGTAACATATGCGTGACTGGACAGAACGTTAAGTTTTGAGAATCAAGGACAGGTTGTGCTCTTATTCAAAAAATATATTACAATTTGTTGAAGCAGCTTTAATTACTCCCCTGGAAGAAGAGGCACGTTTAGCAATTTGGGCAGGGTATCAGGTATGGCCTATAATAAACCAGTTCATAACCGAGGCTTTCCCTTTGGAAGGATAGATTCATTGTATATTCAACAATCCAACTATGTTGGTCATTGAAGAATGGATGCGTAGTTCAATTTTTTTATTGAATGAATTAATTATAGATATTATAGATATTATTAATTTCACTATCTTGTCTTCTTTGTTCTACGATTAAATTTTTTTGCATTATTACTTTTAACAAAACTATTATTATAATTATTATTATTATTTTTATCTTTTGCCTTATTTAATTTCAATGATGTATTTTTTCGTCTCATAACTTCCCTCGCTTTATCCAATGCGCCAATTACAAGTAACAATTCTTTTCTTAATTTTATGATGCCACTTTTTTTCCTAACTGATGACACCATTAAAGGCGGATCGATTGAATTTG